TCTTCCTGGCCCCTCTTCTTCTTCCTCCTCCTCCTCCTCCTCCTCCTCCTCAGCTCCTTATGTAACGCTGCACTGCGCTCCACTGCGCTTCTGCCCAACTGGCCGACGGTAGGGCGAGACAAGGGGATGAATAAAGTAGACGTGGCAAAATGGAGCTTTGGTGATTTTAAGCGGCTGTGAAAACCTCGGGCAAATCAGGGGAGGAGAAGGGACAGTCGCACGCAGTGATGTGAAGCCGAAGACTCCAAAGATTGGAACTTGGGGGGGAGATATGGAGAAAGTCACAATCTGCAATGCAAAATGATTTATCACACTGACTTGTGCATTTCAAGGAAAGAGGGTTGGAAATTGCACAGGTCATTGATACAGAGAGAGTAATGAAGTTTCAGGCAACAAATAAAACGCACTTCTCTCTAATGTGCCTGGCAGTTATCACTGATGGACAAGCTGTTTAACTCCCTATCACATTAATGTTTGCGTAAACCCTGATCAGTGTGATAAAGACTTTTGTCAGTAACTGGGAGGGTCGGGTGCTAGCCGGCTGAGTTTCATGCAAGATTAGTTTAAAGGTCAGGGGAAATGAGCAGTAGAAAGAAAGAGAGAGAGAGAGAGTGGCAGGGGATATCAGAAGAGGACGGCTGGAGAGGAGGGATGAATTTAACGGCTGTGATCCAGATAGATGAAGCAATGGCTGGGTGGGACTGTTACTGTTATTGTGAAGAAGATGATGCACAGGAGAGACAAAGTGAAAATGAAGTGAGAAAAGACAGAGTAAAGGGAGACATGAATATAAAAGAAGGCATAGCTGGCATCAAAGGTACATGGCCATGTTGTAAATTTTCTGTGCAATATCACAATTTCATTTCGTCTCAAACAAAAGAATACCTCCTAGCAGTGCGGACGATTATGATCTGACCTTTCCTGTAGCAGCTGAGTTGAACACAGCAGGGCTGCAGTGTGTGCCATGGTTTGTTTGGTCTTTTTATTTAAATAAAGTCTGATACATTGACCCCTTCGAGAGATTTACTCTACCCTGGCTTACCCCTCTCTGTTTTCCGCACTCAGCATGACTCATCACTCTCGAGGGTGTTGTTTTGTTTATGTCTGTAAGTTTGCAAGGGAGCACTGGTGTCTCATCAAGTTTTCACATTCTTGTAAGGCAGGTAATTTCAAGGAGGCAGGAGGGTGGGGATGTTGATGCACACGCACCAGCGATTACTCCAATACTCAGGATTTTATGCAGTAGTTTTTGCCCCCTTTTTTGTGTTCCTTAGAGTCAACGGAAACGGGGTCATGTTTCTACGCAGGGAGTCAGTTGAGGACTTATCAACTGGGGAAAGACTCTGGCTTTTTAAAACAATGTGACTCTGGCTGTCTCTGTGTTTCCGTTTGGAGGAAGTAGTGACTAGATCTAGACTGTCCCGTCCTAATCCCTTCAGTCTCTCTGTCAACTTCTGTCTCCTCTCTGCAGCCCATGCAGCCGTGTTGTTGGAGTCAGTGAAAGAAGGAGAGCTTTTGGGGGAATAGTGATATGAAACAAATCAAATTCTTTACGCAATTGTGCAAGTCCCCATCTGATTACATAAATATGTGTGAGGCAAATAAACACACATTTTGAAACAGTTATTCTTGTTATTGAAAAGTCTTACAGGCTTTTTTTTCAGTGTAGCAGTTGTAGCAGTTGTTGTAATGTGAAAAAGAAAACTAAAAGAGTATCTTCAGGGTAAGGTTTTAAAATATCTAAATTCATCAAGCACTAACTCAAAGCTTTAGAAATATACATAGGTATCTAGAGAAAATAAGCAATTTTCAAACTAAAAATGTGCAGCCTTAGAAAAAAACAACCTTTTAATGCCATTGTCTTTCTGGACTTGGACAGTTTCCCTGCAGAATGAGGAGATTTACTGCAGCTTGTTCCTCTATGACTGATCAGGATTGTATGCCAAGCAGAAGCCATCATGTTTGCCATGGATTTACTTCACAAACAGTCCCCTCTGGGTGTTGGTATTTTAAAATGGAAAAATCAGGAGGAGAAAACAAGTTAGCAAAATTTGATTTTAATGTGGAAATGGTGATCAAGGAGTGAGTTGTAATACAACTGATAAAACAGAGACTTAATGAAGTTAAATCTTATTAGAGTAATTGAATGATGGCAGTATGAGTATTTGTTAGTCATGACTCAGCATCATCATAGTAGAAATCCACTAGAACATAAGGGACTGATCCTTTGTCTCAGTAATGTAATGGTGAATTTTTGTCTTCAGTATGTTGTTCATGTCATCATAATTTGGACAAAATTTAGCCAGTGCCATATTTCAGTTATAATAATCCTTATAATCTTAAATTTTTTGTGTCCTTTCTTTCTATACATTTTAGCCAGTGACAGATAAACAGACAAGGACTCCAAATAGTATTTGTTAAAAAGGGAAGTAAAACATTTAATTAATACAAAACAAAATAACATTACTTTATTATCTTTTTTAGCCTTTGACATAATAATGAAGAGGATGATGTTTCATCATAGTGTCATGGATGTTACCTTTGGCCAGGAGGGTTTGAGGTCTTTGATTCATTGCCCACTTAGCAATCCCCTCAAGGAAACCTTCTGCTAAGTTCCTCCACCTCCAACCTTTTATCACCTGTCATGGCTGTTCCTCACAGAGAGCCACTCAGTATTGATTTATTACATTTTTACAGTTTCTCTGGATGTCAGTGAACTCTACATACTGTCAAGATCTCAGGGTGGACCTTTCTACTATTATATGATAGTCAAAAGTAATAAAAAAGACTTAGTAGACTTGCTTTTAAGTGACATCAACAGTTATTTGATTTTTTACTCTTTCTCCTTTCTTTATTTATTTTGTCCTCTTTTTACTTTTATCCTATCTTGCCTTGGATTTTGATTATCTTATTTCTCAATAATATTCCATTGGGTTTGCCTCATAATTTATTTCTTTTCATAGCTCTGCTTATTTTACTGCTTTTCTTTCATTATTACAAAAATAAGGAGGGGAGGGTTATCTTAAACTAGAGAAAAAAATAACATGAATTCATGAAACTTTTGTGACAGTGTTGTTGAGAGTAACATTGGGATCTCAGTGCCCTCTATTTTGATTTCTCCTCTGGTTGATAGTTCCGTTTTGTTATTGTTGTTGTTGTTTTGTTTGGCTGAATTGACACAAACCCAAACCATACCTCATTTGTTAGGAAATCTTTCTTTCAAGCAACTTTGCTGGATAAGCAGAATTAAAAATAATATGAGTGCACAGCTAATCATGCATAGTCTTGTCAATAATCATTTTTACTTGAAGCAAATAGTAACCCTACGTCTATCTGTCTGTGTTTCTGTCAGATCCTGAAGGAGGAGAGGTGTCCCCTCCGATGGGCGCCGGCGTAGACAGCAACAGCTGGCACTTTCGCTATGGACCCGGTGGTCCTGGAGCACCACCGCAGCACCTGAAACCCGGTGAGGTTCCCCCAGAAGCCTTCATTATTCCTGGCTCACCAGCCATAATATCCATCAGACAGAACCAAGGTGGAGAGGATGACAAGAGCGATTTCATTACTTTTGGAAAGAAGGAGGAGGCCAAGAAGAAGAAGAAGAAGAAGAAGGAGAAGAAGGACAAAAAGGATAAGGGGAAGGATGATGGAGATGAGTAGAGGAGAAGAAAGTGAAAATAGCAAAGAAGTAAAGGGTGTTGTTAAAACAGAGGTACCAACCAGGGTCCACTGGGCAAAAAAATGTGGAAGCTATCTTTCAAATTTCATTGTATTACCTTTGTACACAGATGATATTCTACAGCTCTTTCTGTTCTAAAACTGGCCTTACCTAGATTTATCTTACCCTCAGTCCCTGCTGGGGTAAATTAATAACCTTGCCTTGATAAACAACAAAATGATTGATTTTTGCTCCATGCCCCTACGTGCCTGAACACCTTGAGTCAACTTTTGTCAGTCAGTCATCTTTTCCAATAAGAAAAGACCACTCTATGTCCTCCTCTTGAATTTCTTTCTTCCTTTATCCACTGGGCACGTTGGCACCTCTGTCTTACCCCCTCCCCAACTATGATGTGTAAACCTTTCTCTCTGAGAGAAGAAAAATACTTTGTACAAGAACAAGAAAAAGCTCTGTGCCAGCCGAGGAAAAGAGGAACGACAAAGAAGATTGAGACAGATGTAAATCATCTGGAGCTGGACACACACTACTTGTAAATAGCACAGGAGAGAGTCACTCCAGCTAAGGCTAACATGAAACTGCTGCAGATTCCTCTGGTATTAGCCAACAGTGTTCCCTGAGATCTCAATGGAACCACATGCATACACGCATGCTCACACATTCAAACATGCAGACACACGCCATGACAACACAGACACAGGAAACACTCGGGACCTAGACAGAGGGAGAGAAATTAGAAAAAGGAGAGGAAATCAACTCACATCTTCTTTAACTCTAAACACTGCAAGCTTTTTACCCTGCACAGTTGCTGGTGTGATGCGCATGTGTACATCAACTCTCTCAGGATGGAAGCAGCATCCTTTGTAATCACTCTGAATTTGCTCACTGCATTCGAAGGACACACAGAGAGCTTCATCTAAGACCAGAAGCCCAACTGAGGAATGCTGAGAGCACCAGAAAGATGGAGAGATGAGAGGATACCTCACACTCTCTGGAGAATCACAGAGAAAAAGAGTCCAGCTAAGCTGACTTGTGACCCTGCTCTCAAGTCAGCGGACTGTGATGAAACCTTAAAGAATATTAGGAGAGTCTCAAGACTTTAACATCATCTCTTCTCCCCCTTGCAGCAAAAGCCTGACGCTTTCTGCTTTGAATGTTTGGTAGCAACCAGTCTTTACCTGATAACTTTGAGTTTACAACTGCTCACCTGCTTGTACCTGCCCCAAGCTGCCATGAGCCATCCTTTCCTTCCCAATCACCCCTTCCCCCACCACCACCACCACCATCATCCATCCCACCAACTGCCTCTTCAAATGATGATGAAGTTGTGGACTTGATCTGTCCTATCTGAAGAGATTCACAATCACATTCTCTGGCATTTTTTTCTTCCTCATAGCTTTAAATGCATTTTACTTGTCACGCCCACCTCCATTCACCCTCAGATTCTATACCTAACCCTTGCACAGACCCCCTGCAGACCCTGCTGCTCTGAACATTGTGGTATGCTGAGAACAGCATGGAGAAATGTGGACGAGGCCAGGGGAAGCCCACTCAGGGGGGTTGGAGGGGTCTACACCCTGAACACTTATCAGATGTCTCTTTAAGTGCACAATGGTTCAGTGCTTTTAACTTGTGAGTACAACAGTACGCTGTTCATTTCCTGTTTGTTGCCACAGATGAGAGGGGACCAGGTGGGATGAGGACCGGAAGGAAGTGAGGTGACAGGTGCCATGGGCTGGCCCGCCACTTCCATGTACAAGAGAAGAAGGTTGTTCTCCAAATTGATTGTGTAGGATCATCCAGTCACATTTTAGCTTTTATGTACACTGTAAATGTAGTGTAGACTTTTCATAGATAGTCTCTACATTAGTAATTGACACCTGCTAAAAATACAGGCATCTACGGGATCCCATCCTTCAGCTGTATCCCACCAATCCTCTCTCAGGAGGTCTTGACAATGGGGTGTTACTCAAGACCTGCTAATGCTGGTACCCCTTCCCGCCTGTAACTTGTTGCCACGTCCCCAAAGTTTTGCGGCTCTGTATGACGTCACTCCATTAAGTGGCTGCTGCATGTACTGCTCTAAGGAAACACATACTATATAGAGAAATATATATATAAATAGATAGATGGCTATGATTTTATTCTTTTGTATCATCATTTCTCTTCATTACTTGCACAGGAGATATTTCTATGTACTTCTGTCAGCCAAACATCTATGTACTACAATCTTCACGCTCCACAGATGTTGTATGGCATCCACTAAACCTCTTTAGATATTTGTAAATGCTATAGTGTGATACCTTTCAACGCAAGTTTATTATTTTTCTTTTTATCAACTATGATTTTTGCTTTTAAGAAAAAGCAAAGCAAGAAAAAAAAGAAAAAAAAAAAAGAAAACACTTTGTGTCTGGCTTTGACATGATGATCTAACTAACACTGTAATATTGTAACTGAAAATGTATGATCCTATGATGAGCTATCACTTCCCTTTCACTCTGGAAAAAAAAAGAAAAAAGATTAAAAAAAATTCCAGTGTAAAAAAACATATATGTATTGTATGCTTGTGTTTAGTGAGCGTTCATGCTGTCATTCTTTCCTGATGTATGGTGGTGAACTATGGTGGAAATGTGCAGTCCTCATTGGACTAGCCCAGATCTGTTGTAAAACCCTTTTTTTGTACACCCGCTCATCAACTGTGACAGTGAAGTAGTGAATTTCATTTATTTCATTTACTTTCTCATTTTTTTTTATTTTACCTAAATGGATACAGTGGTAATGTGTTTTGTTAATAAATCACTAATAAAGTTTTCTTTCTTAAAAATGAATTTGAATTTATTTTGTTGGAAAGACAAGAGGTTGTGTGTGTGTGTGTGTGTGTGTGTGTGTGTGTGTGTGTGTGTGTGTGTGTGTGTGTGTGTGTGTGCATGTCTTTTTTCATTTAACTTGACAACTGGAGATAGGTGAAAAGACAAAACATGACTTCTTTTTTAATTTTTAAGATTTTTGGGGGGAGTTGCATGACAAAAGCTAATTTATCAGGCACAAAATTTATTTATTATCTTTGAATACTGTAATGAATTGATTAATGATAGCCATATCTAACAAAAACCTTAATTGTAAAGAGTACGACTACATCTTTTTCCTTCAGTACACAAGGTATTTTCTGACGGTCTTCCGTTATCACACGCTCACATCCCTCCTCTTTCTGAGACATGGGACAAATGAGAGACATGGACAACATGACCTTCCAAGCTCTGAGGTTTTTTTCTTCTCATTGAAAGATGTGGTTAAAGATAGTCCAAGCAGTCCCTCTAGGAAGAGAAGCATCAGGTGTAATTTAATTAAAGAGGGTAGATCAGTTTGAATATCGTACCCCAGCGGAAAGCAAAGGCAGAAGATCACAATAGAACCACATCACCCTTGCTGGCCAGGACAAAGAGCAGCACTGATAGTCAATACTAATACCCAGGCATCTGCTCTGGCAAATCAATCAATCAATCAATCAAATTTTATTTATATAGCGCCAATTCACAACAGTCGTCATCTCAAGACGCTTTCCAAAGAACAAGAGCAGGTCGAGACCATGCTCATTGTTTGATGATCAAGAACCAACCTAAGATGGGTTTTGGCCCATCTCAACTAACATGAGTAGCAGTGGCAAGGAAAAACTTCCTTTTAACAGGCAGAAACCTTGGGCAGGACCAGACTCATGCTAGACAGCCACCATGCCGCTGCTGGGTTGGGGAGGAATGTAGAGAGAAGAGGGGAGAGGGGGAGAGGACAGGGGGAGGGAGAGAGACAGCAAGATAGGGGAAAGGCGAGAGAGAATTAGTACGGAGAGGGAGGGGGAGGGAGAGAGAGTAGGGAACGAGGGTGAGAGAGAGACAGGAGGCAGCAGGAACAACAGCAACAACGACAACAGCTCATGTAATGGTGAAACAAAAAGACGTTCAGTTTACAGGTTTAGGATATGAGAAATAATGGACAATGTTGAATTAATTGAGTGTGATTACAGTTAGCAGGCTTAATCGTAGTCAGTTCTATTTTGTATGTCAATAATGACAGTGAGGCTGATGTTCATGTCTGCAGTAACAGTAACAGTCCAGAGGAATCAGAGACAAGAAGGAGCTCAGGGCCGGGGGGGGGGGGGGGGGGGTCTCTGCAGCAACGGTCCAGAGAAGCCAAAGAGCCAAAGAGATGGAGGAGCTCAGGGCCCAGGATGGATGCAGCTGGGGTCAGGCAGTTCCGCAGCAGACCGTTTGCAGCATTAGTCCAGTGGCAGCTAAAAGACTCAGAGACACTCAGAGAGACAGAAAACTGGTCAGTGACTTATATGGGACATAAAGATCTAAAGAGGAGATAGAGACAGATTCTAGCTCAGTGTGCCAGAGCAAATGGCTCAATATTTCCTAAAGGGTCATTTAGAATTGAAAAAACAAAAAAAAAAACTAGGTCAGATTTGTCTTCCATTTAGTTGTCCTCAATAGATCACCGAAAGGTCACTCACCAGGGCTGGTTGTTTAATTGAAGTGCCAATGCCTTCCTGTCTTTTTTTTTGTAATGATTTGAAATACAAAAATCAATGGAGTCTCACCCTGACCATTTGACATCAGAGAAAGGGAGTAAGCATTGAAAGAGGTTCAATAGTTCATTCTTTTTCTTTGAAAAAATGCTGTATCCCCTTTTTTTATTTCACTATCTCCAGCAGACTGACAGGAGTTGTTTCTATGGTTACAGCTATTTGGGGAACGATCACTATGGCAACAGCCTTATAGCTTGCAGGGAAGGAAACAGCAGGGTACACAGGATGGGGTCAATGTGGGTGTGTTTGGGTGTGTCCTTTCATGTGCAATGACTGTTTGCTGCCTGATGGTGCAGTAAGTGGTAAATGGTGTAGGACTTACCGCTGACATTTTACTGTTTAGACCAGTATATCCATGATAGAACAACACTAGGGGATAAAAACAACACCCACGCAATTAAAATGACAACAGTTATGTATTCCCATGAGCATTCACTGTGCGTGCCCTGGTCTGGATCTGGATTTTGGCACACTTAAGTTGTGCAAACAAATTAACAAATAAGCAAACTGGCTCAGCGTGCAGACAAGTAGCCTGCAGTGTTTGGTCTGCAGAGCAGCGAATCTCGGGCTAATGAATATGGATATATAATATAGCAGAGTGAACACAGGCAGGCAAGCAGAGCACTGGGCCATTGTGCTCAGCCTTGTTAGAGACTGTACTCTACAGCTCACAGAAACAAATGTAATATAATAAAATAAACCATTTTAATCATAATCATATGCTTATTTATGTATGCTTAAACAACAGTGTTTAATATCGCTGTATTATGCGGTGGATACTTACTTTCTTTATGGCATAATGATTTTATTAACCAGAAAAGGGAGATCAGACATTGACATGAAACAATTAAATCATTCAAAATGTGAAAAGATCTTGACACCCACAGATTGAAAATTTACCAAACAGAGGCACACTGGAGCTAAAGTGTGCCTGTACTTGTTTAGAGGGTGTTGTCCTGCCAGCTGCAATGACTCAGCAAACCCGTCATCCTGCTGAGGAAGAAAAATGGAGCGACTTGGAAGCAGTGAAGATGGAAATGGAGAGATTGGTGTGCATCGTAATCCTGGCCTATGGCAATCACAGCACTGCAGGTAATACTGTAGGACCAGAGAGTCCAATAAAAAGTGCAAAAGACTTAATAAAAAGGGAAGAAAACGAGAGGCTGAGAAATAGGGGAAATTGTCTCAGTCTGTCACAGTGATGATTGGTTTTGTACAGCATCCAAGAATTGATGACTTGTTTTTCTTTTGCTATGAACTTATTCAAACAAACCATGATTAGGCTGGTTGTACTCTTTAGATGTGATTAGAATATGCAGCCATCTTTTCTTGGAGATGACATGCTGTGATTATGGGAAGGATTAAACATTTAAAATGGAAGCTGGGCATCAAAATATTAACTTGCATAAACCATGCTAGTTATTATTTTTGTGTCGCTTTAGCATCAGCAAATTAGTCAAATTGTCAGATGAAGAGTTTTTAAGAGTCATGATTATGCTGGTTCTGCTCCCTCAAATGATCTTGACCCCAGTGTGATTTACCAGGAATTTTGAGTACCTTCTAAAGACATAATATTTGGCCTCACCACCTTTATTCAGTTACTATTATAACACATTTGTCATGGATTTTAATTCAAACAAAGGAAAGAAAAAGGGAAGGACCTAAATGCAGAATTTTTTTTAAATAAATAAAATAAAAGATTTTCATTAGCAAAAATTAAAAAGTTAAATTACAATAACTTACTCATCAAAAGAAATTCAAAACCAGAAAGAAACCCATAACACTGAAGAAGAAAAAAAAATAGGAGGAACACCTCCAGCACTGGGAACTCAAATACCAGCACTGACATGGGCATGGATCAACAAAAACAAAGAATATTTACAGACAGGGAAATTAGTAACAGGTCAGATAAACAAGACTGATCAAAAAAGGAGGGAAAACCAATGATGTTAAGTAGACTTGACACTTTAAAAAGTTTTAGACAACTAAACAAGAAATACTCGGAACAAGGAAATCACACAGAAATAACCAAAATAAATGAATAAACACACTGGGGCAGGAACAAAATGGATAATTCACAAACAATTACACTAAAAACATAACAAGGGGAAAAAACAAACATAAGGGCAATTTATTGTGATAATATCAGTACAATGTTGACCCCTTGAACACTACAAAGAAGAATAGCTTTGTGCCACACCCTCAGAAGCTGGTGATAAACCAAACTAGATTATTTCTTTATGAATAGTGACATTGTTTGGCAAAACATAAAGGATAGAATAAAGTTCTGAATCAGTCACAACTTCTACTTGTTATGACCATTTTACTTTTACATCTGTTTATTATTTCTGTCTAGTTTTGTTTTCTTTCTTTTTTCATGCACACCTTTGTTTCATTTTAGGTATTATACCTTGAGGAAAACTTTGTTTTTGTCTAATTTCATTTTGTTTTTGCTCAATCCCCATGAACCATTTTAAAACACAGCTGTGTGAAAGATAATAAATGAAAGACAAAAAAAAACAAAAACAAAAAAAACCCGGCCGTATTATCTGATGAAACTTGAAAAGAAAATGTAGATAAAAAGAAAGAAATCAGTAGAAGACAGCCAGGCTACCCAGGAAATGTCAAGGATTTGAACCTTTGACCTTTATCTGTAATTTGTTGTTTCTTGTCACCATGCAGCTGCCCTTCCTGGTAATGCTTTCCATTTAAATTTTTTTTTATATTCCACTTTCTGGTGTCCAGGGCTATGGCTTTTCAAAATAATGCCCCAGGTATTAGAGAGAGAAAGCCAAGTCATCCTGGCTATACCAAGGGAGAGGCCTGTAGTGTAATAATTCAAAAGCACGGTGCATACTGAAAGACCCTAGCTGGGCACTGAACCATTAATTAGCCCGCTACAAAGCAACAGAGCTAGCCAGATCAGTGCTTGCTTTTGTAGTTCAAGAGATAGCTAAATTCTAACTTTTGAATTCACCTTTTATTAGATAATCACAGGTTAAGAGTGTGATCCATATTCCTTACTGAGAAACCCAGAACTGTCTTGCTCCACATAAAAAGACCCCTCCAGGAACTGAACAAAGTGCCTGCATTAAGCTTTTCACAGCTTTTCTCTGCACTTATAAGAATTTTCATGAATTTTTATTTGGATTTTTTATTTTATGAAACCAAACCAAAAGTTTCCCATTTTGTATTTTAACTGCTGTTTTTGACACATGAATCTGAGTTTCTCTGCAACATTAATTGTATATTTTTTTATGAATGAAGTAAAACACTAAATAGCCTCTGTTTTTCTGGGCCTTTTATAATTCCTAATTTCATACATTTTCTTCTGATTTTTTAAATAAAAGGTGTTTTGTTTATTAATCTATCTATCTATCTATCTATCTATCTATCTATCTATCTATCTATCTATCTATCTATCTATCTATCTATCTATCTATCTATCTATCATCTTTTTCTTTTTTTTAAATTGATATGGCTTCAACCTTTGATATTGAGGACCATGTTATAGAGCCTCACTCTACAGAGTTGCATGATAGCAGTACATTGCTTCCTCCATTCACTCACATCTGCTCCCCATGTCCCATCTGCAACAGTGGTAAGCAAAAGGCGCCATCTCCTGGTCAAAATCTCACAGCACATTTGCTCAGAGTGAAAGGCTGTGTTTAAAATTGACCTTAATCTTGTTTTCCCTCTCTCTCTATCACAGGTCAGACACAAGATAGAGGTAAAGAGCTGGAAAACTGTAACAAAACCCAGCATAGTTTCACCGTCCATGTAATTTTCATTTTACCCTCATTTTATGTCTTACTATAAAAGAATACCACAGCATAACAAAATACTGTTGTAAACATGCATATTCTATTGATTTTACCCCTTTAGTTCAGAGAAGTGAAGCTGTACAATTTCCTCCTTTCAAACTAGGCTGTGAGACAGCTTAAGCAAGGTACAGCATTCCTAAAAAAAGCAACACTTTAATGTTATTTTCCTAAAACTAATAGAAAACCGTTAACTTTCCATCAAGTCAAGATATATAAAGTCTCTTGCAATTAACCCTAAGGTTAACCCTAACCCTGGAGGCCATAGGTTCAGGCGGTTAAGCGCAGAGGCCAAGTAAAATAAAAGGACACCATAATGGAAATTGATATAAACTTTCTGTGAAACAGTTTTCACACTCCAGGCTAGTTTTGTTATCTTAATAATCACCATCGATTTTCCTATTACCATATCACATTTACAAGCAACACACCAGCTGACTTTTATTTAGGCCTAATCAAATCAAGGCAGGGAGAGACTTTTCTAGCTAAACACATAACATTTGTAGAACTACAGTGTGTTTTATTCCCTGTAAAGTCACACGTTTGTGCACAGAATCACGTTTTCTTCATTTAAAGTAGGCTACACCTTGAAGAGTACCACACTGCACTGTCATCTTTACCTCCAGGTTGCAGAAGTAGTGATTTCTGATCATCAATAGACATCTGTAGTAAGATCCTGCAGATGTTTTATCAGTGTGTAATGGCAAGTGTTCCGTTCTATACTGCAGTCGGCTGGGGAGGGAGCATCAAACACAAAGATGCAAGACGTCTCAACTAACTGGTGAAAAAGGCTGGCTGTGGTTGGACTCAAGCTGGACTCAGTGGAGGATGTGGTGGAGAGATCTACACTGAGGAAGGTGGAGACTATTCTAAAGAACATGGATCACCCACTTCACAACACCTTGATGGACCAAAGGGCCAATAGTGGTGGACTGCTCCTCTCTCTTTGCTGCAGGACAGAGCGATTTAGAAGATCTTTTGTACCAACAGCCATCAGGCTTTATAACTGTTGTGTAAATAGTAGATCATTTTTTAGAGACATATTATGTGAGACAACAGACAATCGAATTTCTCTTCGGGGATTAATAAAGTTCTTCTTCTTCTTCTTCTTCTTCTTCTTCTTCTTCTTCTTCTTCTTCTTCTTCCATAACACCCAACAGGACTCTATACTCACTGCAATAAACCGGAAACAGTACAACATTGTGTTACGGATTGCAACCAATATTTACAGGAAAGAGAAAGGTTAAGGGATTCACTCAAACAGAAGAATATAAGCTTTACTCTAGAAAGCATACTCGGAGCAAAATTACAACAGGCATTGAAACTGGTTTTCTATTTCTTAAAGAGACAAATTTAATCAACAGAATTTAAGGACGACTGCCTAAATCCAGAGCCACACTCCAGTTCAGTAGGTGGCGGTAATGCACCTTTCAGCTAGTTTGCCAACCGCCAAAAAGAAGAAGGCGAAGAAGAAGCCTCCCCCTGCCTCGTAGGAAACCTTTACTGCGCATGCGCCGGCGTTCTCCGACCCGCCAAATCGCCGGTGTAGTAGTACATTTCAAATTTTTAACGTTCCCCAAAGGATCTGAGAGCAAATATACGTCGCTAGTGTTGCCACAAATCAACCACAAGTTTATTTTACCTCACCTGTAAGCTTTTTCTTGACGGCGAACAATGAACAAGGCGAACAAGGTGGAAAAGAAACCGGTTTTAACCAACGGAGTCAGTTAATCCGTTTCGTGAGACGACGGGATTCGGCTTCATCGGATGTCTTATTTTGCCTCAGTGGGACTTCAACCTGCATCCATTCGGGTAGGTGTGTTTTCTGTATTTTAATGTCTGGTTTGTGTTGTCGCTCACTTGTTGAAGCTCTCCTCACGTTTTATTGTACAAAATAAGCTAAATCCTTCAGTAACTGTCGCTAACCGTCGGTAACCGTCGTTTCAATCTACAGGCACCTGAGACGTTAGGCCTGCTAGCTTAACCAGGCGAGCAACCGTCAGCAAACACATTAGCTGCTTAGCCGCGATCGAAAAGCGACCAATGGCGCTGTGTGCCGCTGCTCAAGGCTACTTTCTTGTTCAATAAGCCTAAACACTTAAATGTAACCTGATATTTAGCTATTTAAAATATAGGCCTATTTTTTGCTAGTTATCACTGTTTGCAAAAAAATCTTGATAGAGCAACCAGCACAAATCACATTTAATGAAGAAGTTGAGGAATTTGCATTAAAAGCCCTTGCCGATAATGGGCACGTTTTATTCAGGCAGAATAAATTCAGTTGTTTTCTTGAATGTTTTTGTTTCACTTGTCCTGACATAAAGACTTAAAAAATTGAGAAAGATGAAGTTTGTCTAAGTGAATGTCTATTTACCCAAGAATTTAAGGCCCTGTTTGAAGTAGGCCTACAACAAGACGGTTTCTCTGTCTTTACTCACAAGGAATAGCTTACTGGAGGAGTTAAAAACAAGGGCATTGTCACTGTTCTCTGGGATTTACGAATAATAGTTCATATTGTATGGTAGTCAACATAACTTATAAGAGCAGAATCCTATCAAACAAGCATACTGGTACCGCTGCAGTGCCAAAGGGAAGTGCAGCCCATTGCCTATATTAGCTTTAGGGTCCTATGATTTCTGCATTAGCGGAATTGGCCTATAAAAAACGAAATCTACAGTTGCACATTAGTTGGTTTTCTGTTTTTTTTTTTGTGTTTTCCAACCACATCAGTTTAAAATGTGTAACTGGAACTTTTCTGAGAAGTACAATACTAATGCTGCACATTCTGTGATTTCTAGGTTTTCCAAAGGATGAGGAGTATCTAACACCAAGCTGTATCTGCTGTTACACCGCCTCTGTGCTTCATGAGAGATGTGATTGCCTGTGGATGACTCTGGACGTGATAACCATCATTCTGCTCATCTTTTGAGGCTGCTTTTACAGTGAGTAAAAAAACATCTATAACGAGAAATGTACGTTTGACATATTAGGGCGACAGTAGCTCAGGAGGTAAAACGGTCATCCAATAACTAGAAGGTTGGCGGGTTTTGATTCCCCCCTATCCCTACTCTGTCCATTGTGTCTTTGGGCAAGACACTTAGCCCACCTTGCTCGCAGTGTGTGTCTTCTGCTAGTGTATGATTGTGAGTGTTGTGTGGTGGTGGTCAGAGAGGCTGTAGGTGCACATTAGCAGCCACAGTTCAGTCAGTTTGCTCCAGGGAAGCTGTGACTACTAAGGTAGTTTACCACCACCAGGGTGTGACTGTGAGTGAATGAATGATGTATCCAATGTAAAGCGCTTTGAGGGTCTCTGATAAAGGGCTGTAAAATCTGATGCATTGTTGTTATTATTATTATAATGAATAATAGAATCTGGGAGATGACTTCAGCTCTAGAAGACATCTGTTCTCTTTTCTATCCAGAGTTATTGCATTATGAGAGCTTTTAATGACACTTAATGTCATTTTTATATTTCTGAAATCAAGTGTCTTGATGCTGAAACTTTGAATTGCTTCATGTCTACTGAAGTAGTTTTAACTACACAGCTATATGTAGACCCTCACTGAGGGGTGGCCTGATACAACTTTTTTTTACTTCTGATACGATACTGATATTGTAGCCTTCAGTATTGATTGGTACCGATATTGATTGGATATTAGTGCAAACTTGTGCATGACAGGTTTGCAGTCAGCTGCAATGTCTTTTTCAGACTTGAATGATAAATATTGCCACACGACCCATCACTCCTCACTCTTACTTGTTAGTACCTTGGTACACACTGTTGTAATGATCAAGTGGGCTTTGCATGCTGAAACCGACCACTGCTAGTTAGAAGTGCTGTAGTGAAGTCTGGAATGGATTGCTTGTATTGGAGTGCTTATGGGAGATTGTAGATGCAAGCCGATATGATCCAGTATTCATTTTTTTCACTGATATCGGACCGATATCTGATATTTGATATCAATATCAGCACAGGACAACCCTACCCTTACTATTAAAAGGAGAAGACGAAAACAGAGAACTGATGATGAACATGGTCAGAGTGTTTCTCAGCTTTAAAGTTTTTAACAACTTAAGGGGACTGAGTAAAGTCATTACCGTGGAAGATGGTGGAGCTGGAAGCCAGCTGGTAGTACTGATGCTTGAATTTTAAGTAATGAACAACAGAAATGCAAAAGGCTTGTGTGTTTTACAACCAAGAAAAGTATTTTTTGATCCCTAACTTAAAGAATCCGATGATCTAATTAAATATGTTGTTGTCTCCAGTCTTGATTCTGGTAATAGAGTATTGACTGTCTGTAGATGTTAAGTCCTGAACTGATACTTTTGTTTTCTTTATCTATAAAACTGCAAAGTAAATGCCACAAGTGTATAAAAATGTTATTTGATTATAACCCCACAAGCATTAGGGCTGTGCCCTTAGTGTAATATGTGTATTTTTTTATATGATAGCAAAGCATAAAATAAATCTTTTGACAACTTGCTGCCCCAAGGAGTTTCTTTGTTCTTTTTAAAATATTTTCCAGTGCAACTCTAATGTACTGTAATGTGTATGGTACTTATCTTTGTGTGTATGTCTTTGTAGAGAAAACATAATGACTGCCTTTTTTAGCTATATCTCAAGTGAGTGACTGATGTTGTCCTTGATACCTGTTTGATGTGGTTGGAACAGTGTGGTTGCTGCCAGCTCTCTTTTTTTCTTTTTTTGTAAGATAGCCTCTGGTGTGACAGACCAATCAGTAATTGATAGGAAACCAATCCAAAACAGAGTGACAGTGCAACATTTATTTGATTCAGTTCAAGTAAACCTTACATGGAGAGTCCCTAGAATGTATACAAAAAGGTCATTGTAATTACTTTACATCTCCTGCGTCATCATGCACCCTAATCTATTTTTATCACCATGGCAGTTGTCCTTTTTTCTGTGAAAAAGTCCCTCTTAAATTTAAACACAATATGTCCTCAAAATATCAGATGAATTTTGTAAGGTGCGAGCTCAGAGAGTGGCCCTTGTGTTTTACTGGCTACTGATCCAGTTTTCCTTCACTGTTATTCAGCTTGTAAATCTATCTCTTTTTTTAATGATTACCACCAAACAGGACAAAACTGATTATATGTGACAGTTGGGACAGCAGAAGGAAAATGCTCCACAGGCCTTCACTGAGAAGTTAGCATAAATCACAAGGTTGAGGAATGATCCCTCTAAAAAAAAAACTCCTATGACACAAACTCCTACTCTACCTGTAAAAACACATTGTTGATTTAAGGCAGGGCTTTGACAGAATTCTATTTTTTACATTTTGTTCATGGTATTGTGTTTAATCAATGTTTTATTCTTTGTATGCATTTTAAGAGCAACTGGAAAAAAAGTCAGTTTCCTTGTATGTGCACATATTTGGTCATTAAAGCTGATTATCATGGTGTTGATGTATGACTTTCTATTGATAAACTTGTGGGTACTTTGCTTTCTATGACTGCTTTAGACTGTGGCGTAAAATGCTAACTGAGAATGTAGTATTTCCTATTAATCTGTTTTACAGGACAAGTCCTCTCATGCTATCTGAGCAATCTGTTGTATCTGTCCATGGTCCTGAAAAAACATAGTGCAACTAGAAACTGTATTTGAGCTTAAGCATGAATTTGACAACTATTTGATACTGCAATCACTATCACTTCTGCTGCTGGTACTTTTACTAATAATGCTGCAACTACTACTAGGAATAACACTGATTATGCTAACACTGCTCTTGCAGTTCTTGCTGCTATACTAACCTTCAGTGAAATTGATGATGGTTATGGAAATCATACTTCAAAGGAATCTTATTTCCCCGCTCATGATGCATTGATAATGGGTATGTTGAAAAAGTAACAATGCCATTTGTATAACAATAATGTTTTTTTTTTTGTTTGTTTTTATTAAAACGTATGCCTTACTTTGTAAGCAATGTGAATTATACACATTCTTTTGATGATTTCTTGCTGTTTATAGATGACATACTTTCTCATGTCTTTAACAACCTTCAAAGCCCGTCACCACTTTCATGGTGTGTTCTAAATTTGTTGTATTTGTAAATAGGGATTCTTAATAAAAACTGGTGCTGACAAAAGCCTTTGTACAATGCTTCCACAGTGCGAGTCTAATGTTTAAAAAGTTTTATTTTTATGTAGCTTTTTGTATGTGTAAAAACGCATGCGTAACGTTAGCTTATCTATCTAAAATGTTTTAATGTTAAACGTGAAATACTGTGTATTGTTTTGACAGTGTGTGTACTTGCTGTTGGTATAGACTGTATCAAGAATAGACGCAGGTGTAGAGAGTGAAAAGCGACTCATGGTGCCGCTGTTGGCTAGAGCAAAAGCAGTACGGACATCTCCACCCACTGACTGCATTGATATCGCTTGTAATTTCACATGACAATCCTTTCATTTTAAGACTGTTTTTCTTCGTGCTTGTTCTTGAACAGATTTAGGTTGTTTATCGAGTATTGTAGTTCCACGATTCAGTGCATGTATTTGTTCAAAAGAGGTCATCGTTTTATTGCAGGATGGGACACAAAGAATTTTTAGCGCTTCGTCCGATCCTCTGCTTGGCGTCCTTCTTTGTAATACTGCACCTCGTTCATGGAGACCTGAGTTATTCTATTCCCGAGGAGATGAAACGCGAGTCTGTTATCGGAAATATAGCCAAAGATCTCGGTCTGGATCTGAGGACACTATCTTACAGAAAGGCCCGTGTGGATTATGAAGGATCTCGGAAAAGGTACTGTGACATCAATCTGAATACTGGGGATTTGATCACATCGGAGAGGATGGACAGAGAAAGCCTTTGTGGCAAGAAACCCTCGTGTGTCGTTCAGGTTGATCTGGTTTTGGAAAATCCCCTGGAGCTTCACCGTGTTAGTCTTCACATTCAAGATGTAAACGACAACTCGCCAAAATTCAAGAAGAATTTGATTGAAATGGAAATAAGCGAATCAGCTGTTAAAGGAAACCGCTTCTCTGTCGAAGAGGCCCATGACGCAGATATAGGTCAAAATGCAGTTCAAAGATACAGCCTCCAAAAAAACGATTACTTTGTTCTCACTGTTGACAGCAGTAAAGTTGAACTTGTTTTAGAAAATACACTTGATCGAGAGAAACAAAGAGAGCTCAATTTGCTCCTTACAGCTTTAGATGGAGGCTCTCCTCAGAGATCAGGTACAGTAGTCATTCACGTCACTGTACTGGATGCTAATGATAACGCCCCAGTGTTCAGTCAGGCCGTGTATAAAGCCAGTCTGCATGAAAACTCTCCTGTAGATACTGTCGTGATTAAAGTGAGTGCTACTGATGCAGACGAGGGAGTGAACGGAGATGTTACATATGACTTTGGTCATGTATCTGACGATGATTTAAATATATTTTCTATCGATGTAAAAACAGGAGAAATTCGTGTCACAGGGGTAATTGATTATGAGGAAAGTAGTTCTTTTGAGATAAGAGTAGAAGCTAAAGATGGTCTAGGTCTTACCTCGTACGCTAAAGTCATAATAGATGTTACTGATGTGAATGATAATGCTCCAGTGATTTACCTGAAATCACTGACTAACCCCATCCCTGAGAACGTGTCGCCTGGTACAGAGGTGGGCATCATTAACGTGCAGGACAGAGACTCTGATAGTAACAGACAGGTCCGCTGCTCCATTCAGCAAAATGTCCCTTTTAAGTTGGTTCCTTCAATTAAAAACTATTATTCTCTGGTGAGCACAGGACAACTGGACCGTGAACTAGTGTCTGATTACAACATTACAATCAGTGCCACTGACGAGGGCTCTCCACCTCTGTCGTCGTCTAAAACTGTTCAGTTATCTGTAGCAGACATCAACGACAACCCACCTGTGTTTGAGGAGCAGTCGTACAGCGCATATGTGAGTGAGAATAACAAAGCTGGCTCCACTTTATGTTCCGTTAGTGCTCGAGACCCCGACTGGAGACAGAACGGTACAGTGATTTATTCTCTGTTAGGCGGTGAGGTGAACGGTGCCCCGGTGTCCTCCTATGTGTCCGTGAACGGAGACACGGGGGTGATCCACGCTGTGAGGTCGTTTGATTATGAACAGTTCCGGAGCTTCAAAGTTCAGGTGATGGCCAGAGACAACGGTTCTCCTCCTCTCAGCAGCAACGTGACCGTGAGTGTGTTCATATCAGATGTGAATGACAACTCTCCTCAGATCCTGTACCCCGGGCCAGAGGGCAAGTCGTTCATGACCGAGCTGGTCCCCAAAGCTGCTCACGGAGGCTCTCTGGTGTCCAAAGTGATAGCGGTGGACGCGGACTCTGGACAGAACGCCTGGCTGTCGTATCAAATAGTGAAATCCACGGATCCGGGACTTTTCACTATTGGTGTCCACAGTGGAGAGATCAGGACCCAGCGGGACATTTCTGAATCTGACAGCATGAAACAGAACCTTGTAGTGTCAGTGAAAGATAACGGGCAGCCCTCTCTGTCTGCCACCTGTTCCATGTATTTACTGATTTCTGATAACTTGGCTGAGGTGCCAGAACTGAAGGACATTTCTTATGATGAGAAGAACTCCAAACTGACCTCTTATCTGATCATCGCGCTGGTGTGTGTGTCGACATTTTTTCTGACCTTCATCATCATCATCCTTGGTGTGAGGTTTTGTCGCAGGAGAAAGCCCAGACTGTTGTTTGACGGAGCAGTGGCCATCCCCAGCGCGTATCTCCCTCCTAATTACGCAGATGTTGACGGCACAGGAACTTTACGCAGCGCTTACAATTATGACGCCTACCTGACAACAGGGTCTCGAACCAGTGACTTTAAGTTTGTTTCATCGTACAATGACAACACACTGCCAGCTGACCAGACTCTGAGGAAAAGTCCATCAGACTTTACTGAAGTGTTTGGAGACTGTGACGACTCTCCTGAGGTAGGAACACCTGCTTAATACCTTGCCATGTGGTCATCTCGATAGTTTGAGATAGTTTTTTTGTATTCACTTATACCATTCAGAAGATCAAAAAATTTTTTTTGTGGTTTTCTGTGGATTTTGTTTAAATTCCTTCTTTTCAAGCCTGAAAGTCATGCCATGTTGCCATCAGCTTCGTTGAACCCTTCAGTTGTGTTTCTTTTCAACAAGATCAAACATTTTTGTTTGTGTTCCCTCTACTTCTTTGCAGCATATTTATACCATAAACATGTTGTAGACTTTTGTTTTCTTTTTTAAAATCAGGGTAAATGTAAAGATAAGTGATTAGTGCACATTTTGTGGTTTGACATTGAGCTTGTCTGTTTTCTTTGCATTAGTGGAGAAATCTTTGTTACATAAAGCTGAATTCTTAGCTTTTGTTGTCTCTGTCCTTGGTGCTGAAACTTCCCTTTGCCCTGTGGAAACAGAAAGAAACACCCTTTTGTCTACATTGTCCTTGTGTTTATCTTTGACCAATCTCTGTGGAAAAGTTCAAATGATTTGGCTGTAGTTTTTGGAGACATTTTTTATTTAGAGAAATGACATTTTTTAGAACTGAATTGTTTGTTCAAACTCCCAAATTTTTGCTCCCTGTGGTTTGTATATACTCTCTTGGTTCTTTAATCATGCTTCAGTTTTCAATGGTAAAATGATATTTATCTCTTCTTTAAGATTGAAAATGCTTCCCTTCATTGTTGCTTACCTGTTCTTACAATAGACTTATAACTCATACATCCCAGCCTCTTTTGATATCTTTTTTTAGTTCCAGATTTGCGCACTGATGTTGACTGAATAGTAATAACGTGTGCTCTTTACAGTTAGGTCTCTGTTTTTAATTTGTTTTGATAATTTCAGATGACACCGCTGACCTATCAGCATCAGGTTCTGATGAAAAGTCCAACAGACTTTACTGAAGAGTTGGGGGACTATGACGACTCTCCTAAGGTAGAAACATGTGCGCATTGTTTGTGACATTTTTCAGTTTTATGGACAGCTGTAGACAGTAATTTCAAATTTACTGTCTTAAAAGGGGATTTAAATTTGCTTTGTCTCGAAATGATTCATTGAAATGATTTTCAATGATTTTTTCCCCCCTTTCGCACCAGTGATTAAAGAAAACACGTTTTTCTCAGATGTGCCATAGTTGTCCTGTCTTTTAGGTGTCTGGCTCTTTGATGTTTTTCCTTGATTGAGAAGGTACCTGCTCTGAAAGATTTTACTTTACTTTGTGGCTTTATTGAGATTTCAAAGGCTTGTGCTTTTTAGGTATACTTCAAAGACTTTCAACTTAGTTGCTTTCTTTAAAGAGTTTTACAAAGAATGCTGCTTTAAGCTTTGATGTTGTATCTTGTATGTTTGTGATCAATTATTTTGTGTCTTTGAAGTCTCATGGTATTTTCTTGTTTCTCGTCCCTCTCCATCCACAGTGCTCCATTATTGTTCCATAATTGGTGCTCTTTATTTAAAAAAAGTAGAACTTAATATAAATATATATTCTTTAGTGTTTGGATAATTTTCCAGATAAATCTGTTTTGGAAATTTCCCCGTTCATCTCATGATGAATGTGTTGTACTCTGCACTTTTTGTATCTTGTTCAGATCTGAAACTCGTATTTTTGGATTTCTATCCCTGGTGCTGATGCTCCATTTTGATTTTAAATGTGTGCTCATCATTACAGATGAAAGATTTGATTTGATTTGATTTTTCCAAAGCAAATGTATTTTAAGTAATAGTAGTCCATAAATGTGGATGCAATAATTAAGCACAAAAGAAACCACTCAACTTGCAGATAAGGCAAGGATGCAGTGAAATGAATTTAGAGGATATTTGTTCTCGAGGCAAGAAGTCATTTTCCTGTCTTTGTCAGTTGTTCTTGTCTTGGCATTCTCCCACTTTTCAGTGTAATAACATGTAATAACCTTCCTGAAGTATTTAGAGACACAGTCATAACTGTCCTGAGGTAAGAACATTTGTAAAACACGGTTCAGTCTCTTCCCTTTCAGTGAGATGGTCAGTTCTTGATATAGGTACAGAGGTGTTCTTTTAGTTTACAGTGATCAACAGTTCATTAAGTGCTGAGTTTGTGAAATGTAAAGTCTCCCTCAGTGTGCACGACTAGTTTCTTCTTTCCCTTTTTCATGGTTAAATCTGACTCCATCAACTTTAGTCTTCTCAGTTGATTTCATTTTTTTTACTAGCCTGTCAATTATTCACCGGCTAGCTGTGCTGGAGACATTTTCTTAAAAATGTGAGCAATTCATTTCTATGTCTTTTTGAGCCCTGAGCTATTTTGTTTCTATTTTTACAGTTTATTATAGGCTTTTGTAATTTTTATTCAGCACAGCATTAAGCTGTGCTGTGAAGAGTGTCTCATGGGCTTAAGGTTTGAGATTCTATTGAACATGAAGTAGTTTGGTGCCTTTTATTATCAATGTATCCCTCCTACTGTATGATTTTGTACTTGATGTTTCCATCCTAAAACCTCAAAAACAAAGAAATCCTATGATGGATGATTCTCCTATTTTGTCTTGTCACAGATATATGTGGGGACAGACTCCTGAAGTAATCAGCTTGACTATAGTTGTATTGTCACTTAGTTGGCATTGTGTAGTTATAGTTGACCTTATTTAGTTTTTAAAAGATATTTTTCAGCATTTGCTCTTTGACTATCTGTCTAGTGAGTCTATTAATGTTTTTGATACTGATTTTATGTTGTGGTGCCTGTGAATATATATTTGGTGAATAAATTCATTTTGCTTATTTGATCTTGCGAAGTATTTTCTCACCGAACATGAGCAAGAGGCAAAAAAATGCATGATAAACTCTCTTCCATTGATGCTGAACCCTTTTCAGTTTGTGATGCTTTGGAATCACTACTGTCTATCTGCTTATAGTCTTCACATCCTACTTCTTTAGTTTGGTTTCAGTGATTGTTCACATTTAATTGAAATTATTAAGTTTTTCCTCTTTATTGACAAAGTAGTGTGTCAAGATATGATGTGAAAATTTCTTTCCTCACGCAGTGTTTGCTCATACTAAGACCTGTGTAAGAGGTATGCTTTTTCTTTTGAGTTGACAAAATCATCACAGTACTCATGGTAACTGGATATTTACCTGCTGTAAATTGCGTGTGAGAATAGCACTCTGTGATAGTTTGTGCTTGTAAACACATCGTATGTCCCCGATGTCCCAAAACTGTCAGTAGTTCTTCGGGAGACACAGCGAGAACGATAACATGTCTTTGTTTTCCCCTGAACATTGAGGAGACGGGGTTGGTGGATATTTCTTAAATATGCACAGAAAAGATCTATCTTGCTGTCATACCTGAAGCTCACTCATGGTGTCAGTGTGTACTAGCTAACGAGAGAACACAGTCATTCTCCACCCTTTTGTCTCAACGACAGTATATCCTGTCTGTGCTTTTGTAGTGAGCTGGTTCGTATTTGAGTACTCTAAAAAGGTTTTCACCGCAGAATAACTGATCTAGTGTGAGGTAAATGTGATCTGTATTTAAGGTTTTTTGCCCGTCTGTTGGATTTTTATTGACTCTAACAATGGGATTTATTGGATTCATGCTGCATGGCGGCCTAGCTGTTATTTTTCTCGCCCTCCACCTCGTCTTTGGGGACGTGAGCTACTCCATTCCGGAGGAGATGAAACGTGGATCTGTAATTGGAAATATTGCGAAGGATCTGGGACTGGAATCGGGAAGACTGTCGGCTCGCAATGCCCGCGTTGATACTGAGGACAACAGTGTGAAATACTGCAGCGTAAATCTGAACACCGGAGGATTGATGGTACAAGAAAGGATCGACAGAGAGGGTCTTTGTGCGAAAAGAGCATCATGTGTTTTGAAACAGGAGCTCGTCCTGGAAAATCCTTTAGAGGTGCACCGAATAAATATCCGCGTTCAAGATATCAACGACAATTCACCTCAGTTTGCAGAAGAGATGCTAAGATTTGATATTCATGAATCCGCTGTTAAGGGTGCACGTTTTCTTCTTGGAGAGGCACACGATGGAGACATTGGGGAAAATGGTGTTCAGGGTTATTCTCTTCAGCAGAATGATCATTTTAAATTAAATGTTAACACAAAAGGAGGTGGGCGAAAATATGGTGAACTGGTTTTAGATAAAGAATTAGACAGAGAGGTCACACAGGAGCTCAAGTTGTTACTAACTGCATTTGATGGAGGCTCTCCTCGTAGATCCGGTACAGTAGTCATTCACGTCACTGTACTGGATGCTAATGATAATGTACCAGTGTTCAGTCAGGCCGTTTATAAAGCCAGTCTGCCTGAAAACTCTCCTGTAGATACACTGGTGATCACAGTGAGTGCTACTGATGCAGACGAGGGTTTAAATAGTGAAATCACATATGGATTTGATCATGTTTCAGATGACAACAACATATTTACTTTAGACTCTAAATCCGGAGAAGTGACAGTAGCTGGTAACATCGATTATGAAAAAGAATCGTCATATGAAATGCAGATAAGTGCGAAAGATGGTCTAGGATTGATTTCATATGCAACCCTATTGATTGATGTCATGGACATAAACGATAACGCTCCAGTGATATACGTGAAATCACTGACTAATCCCATACCTGAGAACGTGTCACCTGGTACAGAGGTGGGCATCATTAACGTGCAGGACAGAGACTCTGATAGTAACAGACAGGTCCGCTGCTCCATTCAGCAAAATGTCCCTTTTAAATTGGTTCCTTCAATTAAAAACTATTATTCTCTGGTGAGCACAGGACAACTGGACCGTGAACTAGTGTCTGATTACAACATTACAATCAGTGCCACTGACGAGGGCTCTCCACCTCTGTCGTCGTCTAAAACTGTTCAGTTATCTGTAGCAGACATCAACGACAACCCACCTGTGTTTGAGGAGCAGTCGTACAGCGCATATGTGAGTGAGAATAACAAAGCTGGCTCCACTTTATGTTCCGTTAGTGCTCGAGACCCCGACTGGAGACAGAACGGTACAGTGATTTATTCTCTGTTAGGCGGTGAGGTGAACGGTGCCCCGGTGTCCTCCTATGTGTCAGTGAACGGAGACACGGGGGTGATCCACGCTGTGAGGTCGTTTGATTATGAACAGTTCCGGAGCTTCAAAGTTCAGGTGATGGCCAGAGACAACGGTTCTCCTCCTCTCAGCAGCAACGTGACCGTGAGTGTGTTCATATCCGATGTGAATGACAACTCTCCTCAGATCCTGTACCCCGGGCCGGAGGGCAAGTCGTTCATGACCGAGCTGGTCCCCAAAGCTGCACACGGAGGCTCTCTGGTGTCCAAAGTGATAGCGGTGGACGCGGACTCTGGACAGAACGCCTGGCTGTCGTATCAAATCGTGAAATCCACGGATCCGGGACTTTTCACTATTGGTGTCCACAGTGGAGAGATCAGGACCCAGCGGGACATTTCTGAATCTGACAGCATGAAACAGAACCTTGTAGTGTCAGTGAAAGATAACGGGCAGCCCTCTCTGTCTGCCACCTGTTCCATGTATTTACTGATTTCTGATAACTTGGCTGAGGTGCCAGAACTGAAGGACATTTCTTATGATGAGAAGAACTCCAAACTGACCTCTTATCTGATCATCGCGCTGGTGTGTGTGTCAACGTTTTTTCTGACCTTCATCATCATCATCCTTGGTGTGAGGTTTTGTCGCAGGAGAAAGCCCAGACTGTTGTTTGACGGAGCAGTGGCCATCCCCAGCGCTTATCTCCCTCCTAATTACGCAGATGTTGACGGCACAGGAACTTTACGCAGCGCTTACAATTATGACGCCTACCTGACAACAGGGTCTCGAACCAGTGACTTTAAGTTTGTGTCATCTTACAATGACAACACACTGCCAGCTGACCAGACTCTGCGGAAAAGTCCATCAGACTTTGCTGAAGTGTTTGGAGACTGTGACGACTCTCCTGAGGTAGGAACATTTGCTAAATATAGTGCTGTGTGGTTATCTCGAAAGTTTGAGATAGTTTCATGTATTCACTTATACCATTCAGAAGATTTTTTTTTTTTTTGGTTTTCTGTGGATTGTGTTAAAAACTCTTCTCTTCAAGCCTGAAAGTGTCGATGTTTCCTTCAGTTGTATCTAACCAGTAATAATTTATGTATACCGTGATACTTATTTTAGAGTTGTATTTATTAGCCTTTGTACCAGTGCCACGAGTATCCACTCGTGATCAAGCGTTGTTTCATTCACACATTTTCCTTTTGTGTGCGTTTGAGGTTTGAATCTTTTGCAGTCACCTTTCATTTTGCTGATATCCAGTATTTGTGTAAGTTCCTGTAATCTTCAAGCATGAAACATGAAGAAGAGAACATTTATAGAATACTTAATAATTTAAAATTGTTTGTTAAAATTGGGTCTGCTTTTGATGATTGGTTGACAATATTTAAGGAAACACCCCCCTCCCCTTTTTGCTTTGTTTATCACCGTTCAGTCACCGCAATTTGTCGATGTTATTTCGTGTTCTTATACTCTTTTTGCTTAAAGATCACTCACCCATCATCTTTACCAATAGTGCATTATCCTCAGTGTGTCATTGTAACGCGGACGTGGAATTGCACTTACCTGTCATTTATATGAAAAAGGTATAAGAAAAAAAGAAATTAAATGATGTTTTTATAGATGGGAAAGTTACTAGCCAGTTTTATTGATTATTCCTTGAAACACTGTACAATATAAGGTAATTAAAAATACAACAGATTATGTAAGGGTGCGATAGAAACCTTTAAAAAGCTTTTATGAAAATCACACCCAATAAACATAGTCACGTTAACATGAAACCACCAAGACAAATAATATCGGAGTTCACGTATATGTAGCTACAGTTATTAATTTTAAAAAGAAGGGCACAACTGTAGAATTAAAACATGCCTTATATTTTAAAAACAAGAATAGCTAACAGTGTCTTTCAATGTCGATTAATGTTCCAATGTATTTGTTTTTGACAGCCGAGTCTTTTTTTTTGTCGCCAATGACGCAGACGAAGCAACCAGCAAAACAAGTCCATGCTATAGTGTCACACCTTAATACATTGCTTAAATTTGATGCAGAGATAATTGGTGTGTTTGTATCTCCCGAAAAGACTGCTAAAATGTAATACCCATTGATGTTTCCGTCACTTGTTGTTAAATGATTCACAGTTCAAAGAATATATATTTTTTTACACTTTAGTCCACAGAGTATTTGGAAACAAGATCAGTAATTTTCCAGTTTCCTTACGGTACCAAAGCACGTGCTGTAACTTTTCAGGTCACAAATCTTGTGGTACGTCCATTAACACTTTAAATATATAAAATATATTTATTCCCCGTTCAGTCTGTCCCGTCACTTTCTTTTGCAAATATTAAGCTAAATCTTTGAGTCTACGTTAAAGAACTCAAACGCTGTCCATGGTGCTGAAATATCTGTTCCATTTTGGCTCTCATTAAGCCAAACTTCGAACATCCCTATTAGGTCACTGAATTTAACGTCTTACCTGTAAAGTAGTGGCTGTGGTGTTGGTATTTGAATAGCTCTGGTATAACCTTCTGGGTCTAGTAGTTGTTTGTTTTGCAGTATCCTAAATACACTCACGGCGTCGCTGCTCACTCGCGGATGTGAGACAGTAAAATTCTCCACCCACTGCAGAAGGAGTAATCGTAGCATTTTTAACCAGGGCTGCCGTCGTTCCACGGGGGTTCATATTCCTTTCACCGCTTGGTTTAGGTTGTATACGTGAAAAGTAATACCAACAGTTTTGATCCTTTTTCGAAAAGTGAAAAACATGGACCTCAGGAGGAAGCCTCGGTTGTTCTTTCTGTGCTGCCTCTCTTTTTTCGTGCACATCACCACTGCAGACCTCAGCTATTCTATTCCGGAGGAGATGAGGCCCGGATCTATTGTTGGAAATATTGGCAAGGACCTCGGCCTAGACCCTGGGAAATTACTTACTCGTAAAGCCCGTATTGATGCAGAGGAAAGCTATCAACATTACTGTGATATTGACGTAAAAACTGGCAATTTTGTTACTCGAGAGCGCATCGACAGGGAGGAGCTGTGCGGGGAGAAGGTATCGTGTATGTTAAAATTTGAATTATTACTCGAGAGCCCGTTGGAGCTACACCGCATTTCACTTCTCATCCTGGATGTAAACGACAATTCGCCTGTTTTTCCGAAGGATACAATAAAGCTTGAAATAAGCGAATCGGCAGACAAAGGAGCTCGCTATCGTTTGAGTGAAGCACATGACGCTGATGTCGGACAAAATGCAGTCCAACAATACAATTTAGAAAACAATGAACACTTTGTTTTATCTGTTCGAGACGACACAGATGGATCAAAGAACGTCGAGTTGGTTTTGGACAAAGAGCTGGACCGTGAAAAAGAAAACGATTTGAATCTTTTGCTTGTTGCTGTTGATGGTGGAAACCCACAGAAATCAGGAACAGCCAGCATACATGTGACTGTGCTTGATGCTAATGATAACTCCCCTTTGTTTGACCAGGCAGTTTACAAAGCGAGCCTACCAGAAAATTCTTCTTTTGATACTGTAGTGTTAAAAGTAAGTGCCACTGATGCAGACGAGGGAGTTAACGGAGAGGTGACCTATGAGTTCAGCCGAATATCAGAAAGGGCCCAAAAGGTGTTTTCATTAAACAGTAAAACTGGAGAGATACAAGTGAAAGGAGCACTTGATTTTGAGAGTAATTCAAGATATGAAATGCGAATCAATGCCAAAGATGGTTATGGACTTTCGTCTGACGCCAAAGTAATTATTGATATTACTGATGTGAATGACAATGCTCCGGTAATTTACCTGAAATCACTGACTAACCCCATACCTGAGAACGTGTCACCTGGTACAGAGGTGGGCATCATTAACGTGCAGGACAGAGACTCTGATAGTAACAGACAGGTCCGCTGCTCCATTCAGCAAAATGTCCCTTTTAAGTTGGTTCCTTCTATTAAAAACTATTATTCTCTGGTGAGCACAGGACAACTGGACCGTGAACTAGTGTCTGATTACAACATTACAGTCAGTGCCACTGACGAGGGCTCTCCACCTCTGTCGTCGTCTAAAACTGTTCAGTTATCTGTAGCAGACATCAACGACAACCCACCTGTGTTTGAGGAGCAGTCGTACAGCGCATATGTGAGTGAGAATAACAAAGCTGGCTCCACTTTATGTTCCGTTAGTGCTCGAGACCCCGACTGGAGACAGAACGGTACAGTGATTTATTCTCTGTTAGGCGGTGAGGTGAACGGTGCCCCGGTGTCCTCCTATGTGTCCGTGAACGGAGACACGGGGGTGATCCACGCTGTGAGGTCGTTTGATTACGAACAGTTCCGGAGCTTCAAAGTTCAGGTGATGGCCAGAGACAACGGTTCTCCTCCTCTCAGCAGCAACGTGACCGTGAGTGTGTTCATATCAGATGTGAATGACAACTCTCCTCAGATCCTGTACCCCGGGCCAGAGGGCAAGTCGTTCATGACCGAGCTGGTCCCCAAAGCTGCACACGGAGGCTCTCTGGTGTCCAAAGTGATAGCGGTGGACGCGGACTCTGGACAGAACGCCTGGCTGTCGTATCAAATAGTGAAATCCACTGATCCGGGACTTTTCACCATTGGTGTCCACAGTGGAGAGATCAGGACCCAGCGGGACATTTCCGAATCTGACAGCATGAAACAGAACCTTGTAGTGTCAGTGAAAGATAACGGGCAGCCCTCTCTGTCTGCCACCTGTTCCATGTATTTACTGATTTCTGATAACTTGGCTGAGGTGCCTGAACTGAAGGACATTTCTTATGATGAGAAGAACTCCAAACTGACCTCTTATCTGATCATCGCGCTGGTGTGTGTGTCAACGTTTTTTCTGACCTTCATCATCATCATCCTTGGTGTGAGGTTTTGTCGCAGGAGAAAGCCCAGACTGTTGTTTGACGGAGCAGTGGCCATCCCCAGCGCGTATCTCCCTCCTAATTACGCAGATGTTGACGGCACAGGAACTTTACGCAGCGCTTACAATTATGACGCCTACCTGACAACAGGGTCTCGAACCAGTGACTTTAAGTTTGTGTCATCGTACAATGACAACACACTGCCAGCTGACCAGACTCTGAGGAAAAGTCCATCAGACTTTGCTGAAGTGTTTGGAGACTGCGATGACTCTCCTGAGGTAGGAATCCGTGCTTATAGTTTGTGATATTGTTCATTTTTACGAAAGACATTGATAATTGTGCACAAGATACTTGCAGTTTTGAGCGTAGTTGGATCATGTTGGTGTATCCATTTGGAGAACATTTTTGGAATATATCCCACCACTCTTAGGAAACCTGCCCTAATATAACTCTGTTCTCTTTTATGCCTCAGTGAGTGTTTGTCAGCCATGTGGCTACCAGCTTTGTTGAACACGGTTGTTGTGTTTCTTTTCAACAAGATAATTTTTTTTTTTTTCTGTTCCCTCTACTCCTTTGCTGCACACTCATACCATAAACATGTTGTGGACATTTGCTTTCTGTTTTCAAATCAGTATAAATGTAAACATAAGTGATTAGTGCAAATTTTGTGGTTTGTCATTGAGCTTATCTGCTTCTTTGCTTGATTAGGGAAATCTTTGTTATGGAAAGCAGAATTTTAGCTTTTGTTGTCTCTCTCCTTGGTGCTGAGACTTCCTTTTCCCCAGTGGAATCAGAAAGACGCATTTTTTTCTCTGCGTTGTCCTGTATTTATCTTCTTGACCAACCTTTGTGGGAAAGTTAAACAGATTGGGCTGTAGTTTTTGGAGTGTTGTCACCTGGAGAAATTACATGTTTAGTTTTCTTTCAAGCTCCCAAAGTTTTGCTTCTTGTGGTTTGTTCATACTGTTTTGGTTCTTTAATCACACTTCATGTGTCAACAGTTCATTTTACATTTGATTCACATTCTATTGTAAAATGCATATCTTATTTAGGATTGAAGATGCTTCCCTTCATTATTGCTTATCTGTTCTTACTTTAGACATATAACTCACACATCCCACACTCTTTTGATATCTTTTTTAGTTCCGGATTTGCACACTGATGTTCACTGAATAGCAGGATCATGTGCTCTTTACGGTTAGGTCTCTCTTTTCAATTTGTCTTAATATTTTCAGATGACTCCGCTGACCTATCAGCGTCAGGTTCTGATGAAAAGTCCAACAGACTTTTCTGAAGAGTTAGGGGGCTATGACGACTCTCCTAAGGTTGAAAAATGTGCTTATAGTTTGTGACATTGTTCAGTTTTATAGACAGCTGTAGACAATTGACCACACAGTAATTTCAGATCCCTCTTTTCTCAAGATTTCAAGTCCTCTGAGTTACTTGGATCTTACAAGGAGATTTAAATTTGCTCTGTCTCTAAGTGTTGAAATGCTTTTTTCCCCCCTTTGTACCAGTGATTTTTTTTTTTTTTTTCTCAGATGTGCCATAGTTGTCTTGTTCTTAAGGTGTCTGCCTCTTAGATGTTTTTCCTTGATTGAGAAGGTATCTGCTCTGAAAGATTTTATTTTACTTTGTGGCTATATTGAGATTTCAAAGGCATGTGCTTTTTAGGTATACTTCAAAGACTTTCAAATGTGCCACTTAGTTGCTTTCTTTAAAGAGTTTTACAAAGAATGCTGCTTTAAGCTTTGATGTTGTAACTTGTATGTTTGTGATCAATTATTTTGTGTGTCTTCTCCATCCACAGTGCTCCATTATTGTTCCATAATTGGTGTTCTTTATTTAAAAAAAGTAGTACTTAATATAAATATATATTCTTTAGTGTTAGGATAATTTTCCAGATAAATCTGTTTTGGAAATTTCCCCGTTCATCTCATGATGAATGTTTTTGCTCTGCACTTTTTGTATCTTGTTCAGATCTGATATTCAGATATTTCTTCTCAAGGCAAGAAGTCATTTTCCTGTCTTTTGTCAGTTGTTCTTGTCTTGGCATTCTCCCACTTTTCAGTGTAATAACATGTAATAACCTTCCTGATGTGTTTAGAGACACAGTCATAACTGTCCTGATGTAGGAACATTTGTAAAACACGGTTCAGTCTCTCCCTTTCAGTGAGATGGTCAGTTCCTGATAGAGGTACAGAGGTGTTCTTTTAGTTTACAGTGATTAACAGTTCATTAAGTGCTGAGTTGTTGAAACGTTAGTCTTTATGCGTTATATTATTAACTTAATCCTTTTTTATGGTTAAATCTGACTGCAACAACTTAAGTCTACTCAGTAGATTTTTTTTACTAGCCTGTCAATTATACACTATCAAGCTGGACTGGCGACATTGTCTTACATATGTGAGCAATTCATTTCTTTTCTTTTTTGAGCACTAAGCTATTTTGTTTCTATTTTTCCAGTTTGCTTCTAAGCTTTGTAATTTTTATTCAGCACAGCATTAAGCGCCGGGCTGTGAGTCTATGAATGTTTCTGATACTGATTTTATGTTGTGGTGTTTGTTGATGTATTTTTGGTGAATAAATTTCTTTTGCTTATTTGATCTAACCAAGTATTTTCTCGCATAATGTGAGCAGAGGGAGAAAAAAAAGCATGATAAACTCTCTTCCATTGATGCTGAACCATTTTCAGTTTGTGATGCTTTGGAATCATGTTGCTCTGCTTATACTCTTCACATCCTACTTCTTTAGTTTGGTTTCAGTGATTATTCACACTTCGTTAAAACTATTAAGTTTTTTCTCTTTATTGACAAAGTAGTGTGTCACGATGTGATGTGAAAATTTCTTTCCTCACGCAGTGTTTGCTCATACTAAGACCTGTGGAAGAGGTATGCTTTTTCTTGAGTTAACAAAATCATGACAGTACTCAAGATAAATGGATATTTATCTGTTGTAAATTGCGTGTGAGAATATCACTCTGTCATAGTTTGTGCTTGTAAACGCATCGTATGTCCCCGATGTCCCAAAACTGTCAGTAGTCCTTCAGGAGACACAGCGAGAACGATAACATGTCTTTGTTTTCCCCTGAACATTGAGGAGACGGGCTTGGCTGATATTTCTTAAATATGCACAGAAAAGATCTATCTTGCTGTCATACCTAAAGCTCACTCATGGTGTCAGTGTGTACTAGCTAACGAAAGAACACAGTCATTCTCCACCCTTTTGTCTCAACGACAGTATATCCTGTCTGTGCTTTTGTAGTGAGCTGGTTCGTGTTGGAGTACTCTGAAAAGGTTATTATTGCTATAAAGAACAACTGATCCAGTGTTTGAAAAATTTGATCTGTAGTTAGGGTTATTTAAGTGTCTGTTAGAATTTTGTTAACACTAGCAATGGGATTTATTGGATTCATGCTGCATGGCGGCCTAGCTGTTGTTTTTCTCGCCATCCACCTCGTCTATGGGGACGTGAGCTACTCCATTCCGGAGGAGATGAAACGCGGATCTGTAATTGGAAATATTGCGAAGGATCTGGGACTGGAATCGGGCAGACTGTCGGCTCGCAATGCCCGCGTTGATACTGAGGACAACAGTGTGAAGTACTGCAGCGTAAATCTGAACACCGGAGAATTGATGGTGCAAGAAAGGATCGACAGAGAGGGTCTTTGTGCGAAAAGAGCATCATGTGTTCTGAAACAGGAGCTCGTCCTGGAAAATCCTTTAGAGGTTCACCGAATAAATATCCGCGTTCAAGATATCAACGACAATTCACCTCAATTTAAAGAGGAGTCACTTAGAATTGAAATTCGTGAATCCGCGGTTAAGGGCGCACGTTTTCTCTTGGATGAGGCACACGATGGAGACATCGGGGAAAATGCAGTTCAGGGCTATTCTCTTCAGCAGAATGATCATTTTAAACTTGATGTAAACATGAAAGCAGGTGGCAGGAAGTACTGTGAGTTAGTCTTAGAGAAAGAATTAGACAGAGAGGACAAACAGGAGCTCATTTTGTTACTAACTGCATTTGATGGAGGCTCTCCTCGTAGATCAGGTACAGTCGTCATTCACGTCACTGTACTGGATGCTAATGATAATGTACCAGTGTTCAGTCAGGCCGTTTATAAAGCCAGTCTGCCTGAAAACTCTCCTGTAGATACACTGGTGATCACAGTGAGTGCAACTGATGCAGATGAGGGAGTCAATGGTGATGTAAATTATGGATTTAATGATGTTTCAGATGAAAACCAAGTTTTCGCTTTAAATTCCAAGACTGGTGAGGTAACAGTGGCCGGATCACTTGATTATGAAAAAGAATCGTCCTACGAATTACAGATAAGCGCGAAAGATGGACTTGGATTAGCTTCACATGCCACCCTAATAATTGATGTCACTGACATAAACGATAACGCCCCGGTTATATACCTGAAATCACTGACTAATCCCATACCTGAGAACGTGTCACCTGGTACAGAGGTGGGCATCATTAACGTGCAGGACAGAGACTCTGATAGTAACAGACAGGTCCGCTGCTCCATCCAGCAAAATGTCCCTTTTAAGTTGGTTCCTTCTATTAAAAACTATTATTCTCTGGTGAGCACAGGACAACTGGACCGTGAACTAGTGTCTGATTACAACATTACAATCAGTGCCACTGACGAGGGCTCTCCACCTCTGTCGTCGTCTAAAACTGTTCAGTTATCTGTAGCAGACATCAACGACAACCCACCTGTGTTTGAGGAGCAGTCGTACAGCGCATATGTGAGTGAGAATAACAAAGCTGGCTCCACTTTATGTTCCGTTAGTGCTCGAGACCCCGACTGGAGACAGAACGGTACAGTGATTTATTCTCTGTTAGGCGGTGAGGTGAACGGTGCCCCGGTGTCCTCCTATGTGTCAGTGAACGGAGACACGGGGGTGATCCACGCTGTGAGGTCGTTTGATTATGAACAGTTCCGGAGCTTCAAAGTTCAGGTGATGGCCAGAGACAACGGTTCTCCTCCTCTCAGCAGCAACGTGACCGTGAGTGTGTTCATATCAGATGTGAATGACAACTCTCCTCAGATCCTGTACCCCGGGCCAGAGGGCAAGTCGTTCATGACCGAGCTGGTCCCCAAAGCTGCACACGGAGGCTCTCTGGTGTCCAAAGTGATAGCGGTGGACGCGGACTCTGGACAGAACGCCTGGCTGTCGTATCAAATAGTGAAATCTACTGATCCGGGACTTTTCACTATTGGTGTCCACAGTGGAGAGATCAGGACCCAGCGGGACATTTCTGA